GCCTAGCGACTCGGCGCTTCAAGATCCGGTGGAACTGCTTGGCATTGACATACAGAGGCGACTCTTCCACGGCTCCGGAAGCCATCTCTGGGGACTGGGGTGGGGGCATTTGCTGTGCGGCCGTCATCGGCGGCGGGACGGCAGACCTAGAGGCGTGGTTGAGCATCGCTTGCGCATTAGGCACACCGGGGCTGGCAACCTGACTGAGACGGCGCTGTCCTGGAGGTATGCTGTTCATTTGCGGCGGAGATCGAGGTCCCGCTCTAACGTCCTTCTTAGAGTTTACACCCGACATTCTAGGCGACTGCTGCAAGTTCGGGTCCGCTGCCATGTATGGGTTCGGGTAGTTGGTTCCTGACGCAGCCGCGGTGGCAGCCAGAGCTGCAGCCTGTAGGGGCATGCCATAGTGCATGTTCTGCTGAGGCACGCCGTACTGGGTTTGGTACATGCTGTGACCTTGGGTTGGCGAAGGCTGATGCTGCTGGGTCTGGAGAATTGGCGATGTTTGAGGTAGATGCTGGCTCGATGGGGATGTGATGCTGTTACCACCCGCTGAGCTGGAGTAGGCCGTTTGCATATGTGGATTAGAATGGCTGTTTTGCGCCGGCTGGTATTGGGCGTATTCCATCATATTGAAATAGGGTCCGACTTGAAGCCGTGATGATTGGCGGCAGGCGCGATAGATTGATGTTGTTGACGAGATGAACCCAAGTGATGTTCGCGTAGTGCTGCTATGCTACCGAGCTCGGGTAGAGGAATGCTGACAAGAAAGCTGTGTCTGTGGTCGTAACAAGATGTGCTACCAGGCAGACTAAATCCAGGATGGCCTGCAGCTCAGATAAAAACACCAAGCTTCTGTTTTGGGCTCGATGCTTTGCAGTACAAGAGAAGTAACCTTGTACCTGTGGATTGGGCTGGATGTACACCCAATCTATTGGAGTTGATGCGTTGGCAGTCGATTAAGTGTCAAGGCAAGGCTTGCTATTGGTCGCACACGGCATATGCAAGCTGATGTCGCGGGGCAAATGCTGGGTGGCTCGGTCCTGGACCGTTTGAGACGAGACGAGGAGGCCTGAGTGAGCAAGGCCACGTGAGGACAGGGTGCTGATGGAAAACGCCTAGAGGGCTGGGCGATAAAAGCTGATGGTAGCGCTGCAGTTGGGATGACGCCTAAGCGAATAGCGAACACTGGCGTTGAGCGGGGGCGGAACGTCAAGCTTTCGTGGAACTCTCCCCAAAGTCTCGAGGAATTCTAGAGGCCTATCCGGCTGGGAGTGTCAGTTAAAGCCATTGGCAAACCCAAAACGGAAAAAGAAAACAGAGAACAACGGGCAATGACGATGTGACTGGGCCGAGTCAGTGGTGGGCAAGTTTCTTTTGGCGCCTTGGGCCGGCCAGTTTGATGCGCTGGCATGCATGACGGAATATGCACGAGCCAGGCCCACCCTAGTTGACCAGCTCAGCACACACAATCATCGCCCTCGTCTAGGCCTGGCAATGCAGCATCGAAAGAGGAAACCGTAAGACCCCAGGGTGGGGGAAAGGAGAAGAGGTGCCAAATCCAGAGAATTGTCTCAACCAGTGAGCAAAGTTGAGGCTGCCATGAAGTCATTGGACCGATTTGGTGGGCTTCGTCCACCTGTTCCCTCAAGAAAACTAGCGTAGCTTCGAGCGCGACACAGCGAAGTATGCAAAATCGCGAGGTGAAGAAGGCAGACACATCCTCAGCGTCTCAATGGACCATGGAAAGAAGCACTCGACCTTGGACCTCACAGCCTCTCTGGATTACATCCATTACGTAGATGTATGGCCCAGCAACCGAAGGATCCATATGTCGTGTATCAATGCAAGCTCAACAGGGCTGGAGGGACCCGATGACAGAAACCGAGGAAAAGAGAAAAGGAATGCAAACGTACCGTAAGAAAGTCTGACGGCGTTGGAGTTAAGCGACACTTGTCTGTTGCCCTTGGCAGATAAACAGAGAATACTTGGGAGAATGTCAGCACCACTGTCAGGAGACTTCAGAGACAAATGAGGTATGTGGCTGATGGAGGTGATTGAGACCAACAGTTGCCGGTTTTCACGGGCAACAAGGCCAGCACATCCCAACCATCAAAATAGATGGGGGTGGCCTAACGAATAACGGGTTAAGGGTACTGGTACGTGCCGCTTCCCGTTTCAGATGAAGATGGTGTGCAGCCGGCAAAAGCGGGAGGGGAAGGAAGTGACGCTTGGGAGTAACGCTTGGGAGAAGCATGAGGAATCCCAAGTGGAAGGCAAGCGAATGGGTGAACGGGGTGTCTCTCTGTGACTTACACAAAGCTGTTCAGAAGCACGGCTGTGGACGCACCAAATCTGCACAGTCCTGGATACAATAGGAAAAAAATTCCCCGAGAACTGGAGATTCACGCACAATATGAATGCCTGTTGCCAGGAACGTTGCAAAAGCGCTAGGAAGCAGCCGAGTAATTGAGGACCGCAGGCGGAAGTTATCACGGGACCTTGTCACGGCCAATGATGAGGCCAATGTCGAGGTTCGCGTTGGTGATAGGTCTCCAAATCAGACGTGATGCTTAATCCGCAGGGTCGCTGCGCCCTGAATTGATTTGCTGTGTCGGGAAGGGTCTTTGGGATGCTTTGCGCTCGGGTTGTGACTGGTTGAAGCAGTGCGGGTATGATAACTCAAAGTGGATATTGGTGTTTCTACTTTGTTCCCAAATCGTCGTCAGTGTGCATTCGCAGCCTATAAGTTGTTTCCCAAGAGTGGTCTCCAGTCTCTTTTCTAACACTCGCGTCCTAAAAGGCAATAGTGCAAGCCTTGCTCCTCTCCTAATCAGGAGACAGTGCCAAACTGCTCTGCCTTTCGGAGATGGGAAGAATGGATTGCCCCCCCAGCTCCCGTCTCTGGTCGGCATCGAGCACAGAAGACGCCATTATGGCAGCTCTCGTTCAAAAGTATTTAAACATGCAAAATGCAAGCTGGTGATTGCAGGCAGGCACCAAGCTAGGTGGTGAAAGATGACGAACAGAAGCATCCGAATGGCATTCTGCTCGAACGGCCACGACCATCATAGAGCCGGGCCATGCCCTTATCGCCACCTCTCCGCATCTTGACGAGCTTGAGCGCCGGCGTGGGTTGAACCATCATCGACATGTGCGGGAAGCTTGGGATGTTGGATGGATTGATGGATTGATGAAGGGCGGAGATGAAAGAAATTGAAATGAAATGACAGGGCTTACCTTTGATTTTAAGCATGTACAAGGCTAATAAGGCAGCCTGGCAGTGAGTGGCTCTTGCGCGCGAAGGTGGTCGCTGAATGGTTGAGTTTAAAGCGACGTCTCCTTGAATTGGTGGTTGGTCGGATGCTCCCGTCTCCAATTTGCAGACCGTCCGTTTGGCAGGTTCGGCGGGTGGATTTGGGGTCCGATGTCTGGTTTGCTGCGACTGAGACTGATTCGGCGGGACTGATTCAACTGACAGCCAACCAACTATAAAAAAAAAAAACCGGGTAGGTTCCTTGACCTTGTGTCGATTTTTGCCTGATAGCGATAGCGATATCGAAATCTCGAAGTTTGCGCGACGCGAGGCAGCAATGACGGGTTGACAGCAAGTGACTAAGCAGGCACCGCTAACTTGTCGAATGAGATGCGATGGAAATGCGAAATGCGCGTCAAATAGAGTTGCTCAAACGGTCCCAATTGGAATGCAAAGGTTGTGCAGGAGTCGATGGCCGCAGCCGTTGATTTGACAGAATTTTTGGCCTGTTCTGCTCGCTCGAGAGAGCCTTGGGCAGTGGAGTGAATGATTGGTGGGCTGATTGGTTGTGCGAGGTGAAGGAGGAGAGACGAGGGGAAATGCGAACGATGATTTGAGGGCGCATCCGGACTTCTTAAACTTAGTAATCTGGTTGGATGAATCAGCTGGCGAGTGGAGCCCCGCCGGCGGCGGCGAGTCCAAAGACAAGTGGCTGGCGCCGGGCGGTGGGCGACGGGTGAGGGGCCCAGCTCGGGGGGGTGTCGCTGCACGATTTGGTGTTCACCAGGTTCTGGGTGCTTGGCGCGGGGCTAGGGCGTGCAGTCCCCTGCACCGAGACTGTGGACGCTAGCAATGCGGCATTGAGATGGAATCTGGCTCAAAGAGTCGTAGACCTAATGAAGAAAGGAAAAGAAACGAGAATGGGGATCGCGCGGACCAAAACAACCATAACCGTACGCACTCAAAATGATGAACCCCAATATCATTGTGACCAATGTAACGGTGAGTAGGTATTTGATCCACCTGTCTCCGGGTTTGTCCTTTTCCCATTCTCACTATCGACTGGTATCTGTCTGATATCTGGATTGTGACGCAGTGTGGGAGGAGAGGTTGGGTGCCTTGAGCTGGAGATTTTAGCGAGACACGATCGGTCGGATAGGCAGAGCCGCACACAGCAGGCTGTGGTGACTTTTCTTCACACGGTCCAACTTCCCCGGTGAGGAGAGACAAAAAAAGTGATAGGTGCATATGGCCAGGTCCTGGACTACACTACATGCTCCGCGGACATGGTTGGACGATAGCGCGTCCAACATTCAACGCGTCCCCAACTTCTCTTATTTTGAGTTTTCATGGTCAGGAACGATCTGACTATGTACTTGCCTGCCTCGCCGGTGATCACAAATGGCTTATAGGTTTTGTAATTACATGATGAACATAACGCCACTGCCAATAGGATGTGGTATCTTGTTGATAGGACCATATCTTAGAATCTGCCGACTAAATATTCAGAAATCATCAACGTACAGACTAGTTTTTTTCTTTTTTTTCCTTGAGTACGTAGCCTTCTTGATCGGCACACGCCTCCATCAGCTTTAACTTGATGCACCTCCCGTGAGACGGACAACCTCGGGAACTAACAACAAGACATGCTGTCGCGCGAACTTAGTTGAGCTGTAGGTACATCCGAAAGCCGCTTAATTTTAGTCCGAGCAACGTCACATACGAAGTCGGGCTTTTTGCAAAGTCAGGAGAAACGGCTCCCGTCACATCGTAGCGGGCCATAACACCTCTCGACAGTTTGTACTGGCGGCCTTGCCACGCTCATGCGGCGGTTCGAATGTGCGGTGTTGAGAAGATACTTGCCTCTCATGTGATCAACTGCGACAATGATGGCATTCCAGATACCGACTAACACGACGATGGGTCCGTCTTCGGTCCTCCGGATAGTCCTGGTAGTGTAGCTAGCATACTAAAACGGGCGTCATTGTGAGCATCTGGCAATGGTTGTTATTGATACATGTTGACCCTGCGCTTTGCCACAGAGTGCGTTCGATTGGGCAAAATGGGAAAAGCTTGGGCATGTTTCCAGATCCAAGGCGCCCTCTCGATGGCCAGGAGTGCCAGGCCAAGAGGACCGGGGATGCAGGAAGCAGCGAGGCCAACTCATCGGGAGTTCCAGCCTCCACCCCCAGCCCAATGGAAATGTCGGTGTGGACCACAACAGCAGACGTCAGAAACCAGAAACCGGGACTTTGCTGGTCCGCTGGGGCCTAATCATGCTCCACCCGTGGCCTCGTAAACCCCCGACGCGACCCCGCCAAACAACGCGGTCGACCGGCCTTGGTGGCATCTAGCTGACTGACATCCATCGTATGAAACTCGATTTGATGGCCCTGTGGAAGATCCATATGGCCATCCCACAGGCATGTCGTGGTCTGGACATTGCAAACGATGAAGATGGGTACCCATCGGAGGCTCTGACTTTGACTGCGGACTTGCAGAGGCACGCGCCGTGGTGATGATGCTGTCCTCGCAAAAGACGATGCTGCGCCGCAAGGCGGCATTGTTTCGGGGAGGTGCCCTTTGGGCTACGTGTTCCGTGTGCCGTGTGCCGGAAACGAATCTGACTGGATGGTGAACGAAGCTGTTCGCTGTGTGTTCTTAGCAATTCGGTCAACAAAGAACATTGATGTCGCTGTAGCCGTGAGCCGGCGAGATATCGATACTATGCCACGGTACAGACAACCTGCCGATAGCGCGGTACAAGGTTGGCTGGTTGAGTTGCATGTCTTTGGTCCGCAGTCCAGGTGAGGATACCATGTATCGTTCGAACACATCTCTCGTAGGATTTTGTACAATGTGTTCGTTTGCGTAGACCTCGCTGTTCTTGACTCCCACCCATGTCGCCCACCGGTCTTGGCGTTGGGGTTCGGGACTTTGCGTTGCGACGGTGGTGGCGGCTCGGAAAGATGGGGAACGATGATTCTCGTCCGTCGTTACAGGTTGCGGGCTGCGGCTCTCCGTGCTGCTCTACGCATGTCCCTTGTATCTGTGTGAAGAAAAGCATCTGGAGAACTCCCGTCGTTTCTTGACTTTTTTGGGCGTTTGTTACAAAAGCGTAGCGAGAAATGAATTCTACTGGCTACAAATCCACGTTGTTGACTGTAAAATCCACGTACCGTCCCGACCATGACTCGGGAACTGCCGGCCGCGGTTCCCACTGGCATGCTTTCCTTGATGTGGTTCGCTGGGCTGTTCCCTCTCGAGGGGTATTGTTGACTCTCACTCTGTAAACTGCCCCTGGGACTGTCAAAGCTCTCGGTCGTGTCAGTCAAGCATCCCGTCACCAAAACAAGCGACAAGAGAAACAACGAATCAAACACCAAACGGGAATTCAGTTGGAGGCCCTAGCGGCCAGAAATTCACAATGGGGCTCCGGGGCCCAGGCCCTCGCTCCGTGGACCTCCATTTGCGGTCCTCATTCTACCGGCGATGAGGTGGGGCGGGGCAGGGTGGACCCCTTGGCTTCCTTCTCCGCATTCCACTTCCATCCACTGATTCCTGTGCACCCCTCTGGCCCTCTCAGACAACCCTCTCTGACCTTGCATCACCTCATCTGTGTGCAACAACATCACGTCTTCCTCGAGACAAATGACAACTCTCCAGACTTCATTCGGCCCAGCTTTCTTTTCATGTAGTCGCACAAAAGCCATGTCCGGTAACATGGAACTTTCTATGGTGTATCCTGCAACGGATCAGTCCGCCACCACAGAGTCCGGGCCGCCATCACAGCCCATATCGCGGCCCAATGGCTGATCATGACGCCCCCGAGACTGTTGGACAAAGACGAAGCCAGCAGTGCGTACAGACTTGCACCGTCGACCGAACCTCCCCTGCCCCAGGACACCGGCCACAAGGCGCATGATACGCAGTCGATTCAAGTTTATGCGGAGTTTAAGCAAGACTCAAACCCGGTCCCCCTTGTGTGCTTGTCGTCCCGGCTGTCCTAGAGGCTGCTCCCGCTCGTTTCCACTGGCGCTAATATACCTCTACATATGTACCTACATCAGATCAGACATCATCTTGATAGTCTATGTTAGTGTAGACACTCATCAGCAACTGTAGTTAGTGCAGGAAGCTAATTATGCACGTCGTCCGTCATCGAAGCACGATTCCCTTCTCTGCATCCCACTGGTCATCATTCAGTTCCCAATTCCGCAAATAGCTACCTGGCCCAACTCGAGCGCTTCGGGCGAATGGTAGACGAGCAGTCAACTTCCACTCTACTATTCGACGCCTGAGAGCCTCATAGTATCCTATAGACAAGCTGCTCCTTCCGGTTTGCCCAAGCTTCGAATTTTTGTTAGTTTCAACAGTGTCATCCGAACACTGTAATGTCTTCCTTGCTCCACATGGACATTGTGCGTTTTGGGTGACCACCTATCAACTTTGATAATCCAGTTGTAGATGATAACCGCAGGAATTTCTCACAGATCACGAAACGAGATGGCTTGCTCATTGTGAACCCCAGCCAGAGCTTCTCCCATGTTCACCTCATCACCATGCTAACTCTCAGTGGAGCTGAAGACCCTGATAATTCACCTACTGGGGTTGGGGGGGACTGGGGAGCTGTGATTGACCAATGTGACCAAAACGTAAGGATTGCAATGAGCCAGTCCTAGTCCTGTTCTGTCAAGATGCCGTCAGGGACCGAAGAGCTTTGCGTGGCCTGCGATGCTACTGATCCTCAATTTCATCACATCGACATCCCCAGAAGGCCTCAACTCTTGATCGGTTCTTGAATGTTCGTGAATCCTCAATCAGGCATCAAGTTGGACATCAATAAGCTTCTACTTACTGCGCCATGGCGAGATGAGGAAGATTCATACGTTTTGCCATGAACCATTTTCGCTGCGCATTATGTTGGCTACGTTTGCCAATCTGATTGATCCTCTACATAGATTCATGTGATACCCCATGGATCTAAGTAATTTCCCTATATATGACCATCACAATGACTACTTTCCCGACATTACCGAGTTCTTATCAACTTGCTTATGCGGCGTTGTTATTCTGGAAATCCTTCGTATCAGACATGCGATCAGTTGTTCGTGTGTTTGAAAGAGTATTTCGATCTTTGTTCGGCTTTAATCAGTTGACGATGCATCAGAGACAAATGTCTACTGAGTTGTTGGTCAGAAACAGTTGGCCGGTGAACCACAAACCCATAATCACTGGTTCAAAACTCTGATCTGCGTAAGAAGGTAGAGACAAACTGATTAAGTGCTGAATACTTACCACCTCAAACTTACTCCGTCACTTGCACGTATCCCATTCATCGCCTGTCTGCCAGGCTTCCACGTGTTGTTTTCCACTTGCCGCGTGTTGCCTCTAGCAGGGGTAACAAGCCACACCACTAATCACCAGCACACATTCTCCCGTCAACATGCAGAAAGATATCAAACCACCATGAGTCCTACACCAGAAACAGGTCTTCCCATGTCGTTGCCGTCACTGGCTGGGCGGCACCTGGGAAAGAAAGCGGGAGCACTGGCAGATTTGGCAAACCATAAACGAGTATGTACAACGAAAAGAAGATGGCGAGGTAGTGCTCACACATTCCGGGCATAAAAGGGCCGAAGGAAAGGAACTCAACGACGACAAGCTGGAAGACAGGACATGCGCGGAGATTAACGGCCGCATCAATGATCTGCCCTTTTTCTAGGCGGACTATACTTCCGGAGTGTCGGAGATGAAGAAGCCGAAGAAAGATGGGTATTGGATTGGAGGTCAGACGGGTGTGATACCCTGGCTTGCTGACTGACTGGTCTGTCTTGGTCTAATTGGGTGGTTTCGAAGAATACTGGACCAAAGAGACGATAAGGATGAGCACCCAGGCGTCATCATCCGTCCGTCCCTACACTACATATCATTTTCTCAACCCGGACTCCGGAGTGCGAGAGAGTAGCGTAGGTAGGGTAATGAGCTATCGCTGTCTCCCAAGGTAAGATACTATGACGACGAGCAACGGACGAAATAGCAGTTTGAGAACTTAGTAACATGACTTTGCAAACACAAACGGCTTCTCGATATCAGAAGCATTAGTAGGTGATGCTCAGTTCTACCCGTCATCTCGGCGCCTAAATTGCACATACTGAATGACAGATGATGAAAACAGCCAAAGCACCTCTACACCGAAGCCGTGGCTCAGTACACCTTTATATTCGTGCTGCTAGTATGTCGTAAAACCATACTTCAATTATCTTTAGAGGACTGCGGTTCCTTGGGCCGTTGTGGTAGTTCGCTTCCGAAGATTTCGGTTTTCCAGTGTTGATGAAGGGTCGAGGTACTTCCTGCTGCTCGCTCTTGCCCGTAATTCACCATCGCTTCTTCTTGTATGACCTTCAGCCGCCTGTTTGGGGGAAGGTGCGATCGGACGGTTGAGTCGATGAATAAGCAGACTAGGTGACATACATGGCACTCTATCTCTCGACTACCTCTACCTACCCTAATTCTACCTCCATGTATATCGGTCTGAATGAGCCCATGAAGCCCGAAGGTTGTCACAACATCGGCTTCTGCCGCTGCCGGGGAGAATCGAGCCGCTGGAAATAGGTTAACCCTCAATAACCCTTGCCCGATATCCATAGAGCCAAAGCCTAGGTAAATGACTTGACTATAACAGCAAATTAGAGACCGCCGAATGTTCCAGGTTGTGCTTATTAGTTCATAGGTTTACAATGTGTTTTTCACAAGCGACCCGATATTCTGGAGAACCTACTAACTGTTTTGAATTTTGCTCCGCGCAGACATTGTTATTAGACCAACTCGATAGTGAAGATATCATACAGCCACGAAGGATGTTTACATCAGGACTTGTTGGTTTTGAATCTACCCACCGCTAAGTAGATGCCACATTAACTCGTTGTCAAAAAATACTGTCCCCCTCCACATGTGTGCATTACTTGGCATTCATCGCTTTGTTTCAAGAGTGCATCTCGGCACCATCACTATATGTTCCTTGATGGTTTCAGGTGCAAAGGGAAGGTAGAAATTTGATTTAATATTTGATGTACCCGTTTTCATCCTTTCTAAGGCGCTTATATATCAAGTCAAGCAGACACCGTCAATGAAAGGTCGGGGGATCGGGTTCTAAATTCCAACAAGTATCTCTCTAACTCCTTGCTTGTTTGCCTCGTCTTCTAACAATAGATAGAGGTCTCGAGACTCTTTTTACAAAGGTCCTCTTGATTTCATTCCATACATGCTCGATGGGGTTAGATACTGACTGTGAAGAGGATATTCTATCCACTAGATGCCGTGGCTTTACAACAAGTCTTTAGTTGTCCTTGCAGTATAAACTATGGCGTTGTCTTAGAGAAAACCTGTTCCCGGGCGATAGTTAGGGGCTAATACGTCCTCTACGCTTCCTTTAGGGTAGATGCAAAAGAGATGACGGGGTCGAAGGTTGATGGAGGTGTAAAGAGAGGAAGGAGGGATACCGTTCTTTTTTCCTTTTTTTTTTTCTTTTTTGACCATTACTGTACATATAGGCCTGTGCAAGCATAACCAGCGGTCCAAGTAGAAACGAGCGAGAGCACGGAAGAGGGGTCCGCAACCCGAGAGAATTTGAACAGACTTTGGAAGTTGCACAGCTCAAATTTTAGAGATTTTTGATCGGCTATCTCGGGAGTAGTTCGACACCACCACCGCATGACCCTGAGTTGATGAATGAAGGGAGGCCAGATCTCTTCCGGGCACTGGATGCCACATCCACCCACAGGCAGCGGCTCATTGGCAGAGGTCTGATGAAAACATCTCCTCCGTTCCACGACTTCAACTAACCCGAATGTCAGTCAGAAGACAACAGAGAACAGGCAGTAAAGTCAAAAAGGAGGAGGAGTGAATGGCTACATAACAGACCGTCGAAGTTGGAGCTAAGCCCGAAAACCAACTCGATCTGACTGGCCTAGTGAGTAAATACGAAGTGGAGGTAGTTAAACAGTTCCATCTGCTGTGCCTCCAGTGCCTCGTACCAGCGCAAAGGACCGTGCATGTTGTGTATATGTATGAAATAGTCGAACCGGACGAGGTCTGTCTAGTAGAAAAAGGTTTGTCCTCGTCGTTTACCACCTCGTGTTGCTGAGGATTGCCAACTCGGATTGGGGCAGCTGATGTGACATCTACGTTCAAGATTAGAGCTACGGACGCGGGTTTGCCATAGTCTCGGCGACGTCGATGGAAGCGTATTGAAGGGAGACAGTCTACTCCCAACAATACGACAAGTCTTTTGACGCTTTCTCCAGGGTGTGTCATGTAATGGAAGCATGTGGTCGCGACAAAACAACAAATTGATGTCGCACGTTGCAAGCACGAGACGAACAGCGTCTTGCAATCATGAGAACAACATAAAGCCGAGCTATGTTAGAGCATTATGAACCAGGGGTCTTGTCTTGGTCTCATCCGGTCAATGCTATCCACAAATAAAGAGAAAGCTCAGAATTTCGACAGCCATCGTCGAGTGATGCCTGAAACTGGCCATCGAGAACTCCCACGATGGTGTTTCATGTGTGGGAGCTGATAAGATCCATATCATGATGATCTATCAAGATCCTAGGCATTACTGGCATATGGACAGCCAAATAGGCGGCCGTACCGAGCGGGCCCTCTCAGGCGGCCACCCGTGCTGATGACTGCCCAGATGCTTGGTGTTGCGCACTTGCGATGACCCGTTGATCGCCTCAATAATAGAGCATCAATAACTAGCACGTTGCCATGGCAGCAGGCGCGCGCTCTAGGAGACTTGGGAAAACAGATACACTCGTAAGTCAAAAGGCAGATTGGGTACTGAGCGCGCGCTCAAGTAAGGGGTAGAAAGTCGTTAACAGCAGCCAATCGACATGAAGGCGTTTAAACTAGACTACCTACTCATTCAGGGCCAGATGCGGAAGTCCGGGGAAAACAACCAACAGAAGTCTTGGCAGATGATTTCTTTGTCGCAAAGTTTAAGCGCATCAACAGCCGCGCGCCGTGTTGGTCAGTCCTGGACAAAGATCCGCCTTAAACCGTCCAAAGCAGGCCCCAGAAGGCGGCCTCCCTAGGGACAAAGTACGGCTGCAACCGCAAACCGGGCGAACCGACAGCCGCTTGGCGCTCTGGAACAGGCATCTCGACGACCGGAGGCATGAACTTGTGGTCTTTGGCGATAGCAAGTCCAAACCAGCTGGCGCGCGCTCCCAGTAGGGGCCCGTTAAACGGCATAGAAGATGGGGAATGGGGAGAATACCGCGAGGTTGGGCATGCCATATTTGCATACTGATACGAATACTGGCGTTTCGAGATCGAGGAGCGTCTATCTTGCAAACCGGCTAGTTGGCGGTTAAGTAGCGCGGGGGTGATGTATATATAGAAGAGAGTTGCGCGAGGCGACGAACGGGAACGGGACGGAATACTAGTAGCATTGCCAACATCTACGAGTCTTCTTTATCCGTCTTGTCTTTTTTTTTTTTTTTTTTTTTGGGACTCGGAGTCTTGGAGTGTTGATAACTTGCCCTTGCCGTTTCGACCATAACTTCTGCCTGGTGGACTGGACTGGTTCCTTCCCTCACGCATCTTTTTGTTTTCAAAGTTTTCAGCTTTGCTCTTTCCCTTTCTATACCAGCTCATCTCCCTTGGGCTTGATCCGTCATTTCGTCTGCGACTTATTTTTTTTCGCAAGTCGCAGTCCACTGTCGACAAGTCACCTGAAGGAAAGACTTCATTTCGGGAGATCTTCCGCTGGTCGACCGCTTCAGTTCTATTTTCTCGACACCCGCAATACCAGCAACACGGTTCTCGGGCACCTCAATTTTCCACACACACGACACAAGCTGAAGTGCAATCCCACTTCCTGGCACTTCCCTTGTGGTCATCCCCGTTCTCCACCCGAACGTTCAGGTGTTTTTATCGGTACGCTAGCACGCGGTAAGCCCCTGGCCAATTAGCGGCGTCGGTGACCATCAGTGCTAAGAATACAAGTATGAGCTTAGCGCTCTGGTGCTGCAGGTTCTGGCACAACATCACCAATCACATCCCGTGCAGGTGTCTCGCCGGCACCCCATCCTGGGCCTTCCACCTGTACCGAACGGACGCCATCACGATTCACCTCACGATCTCGCAGCCAGCACCAGGCATCTTCCATCCCGAGCTCGTGGCAAAGACACCGGAAACCCCGGGCCAAGACGTTTCGTTTCTTCTTCCCGTCTTTGCTCAGTGATTTGGGTCCAAGGGCGTCGACGGGCGTTTCACTCCGCCTCCCTCATAATCCACTCGGGAACTCCCCTTGGAAATCAACACTCTTCAGACAGTCGATCAAGAACCCGGGCACCGCATTTGCACCCAGTATCTTGCCGGACTTGCTCGTCGGATCGTGGTATTGGATCTTGCTTAGGCGCTTCTTCGTTCCGAGGCACACAGAGCCCGATCTTTTTACTGCGCAACTGCGTAGAAGACTACAAGGGATTACGAGGTGATCCACTGGACGTGTGTAAGTCTCCATCCTCTTTGGCGATACCTTCATCAACCTATCCCATCCTTTAAACATGCCTTCCCTACCTATCCAGACCAAGCGAAAGCTGCCAGCGCACCGGACAGAGAAACAAAATCTGGAGCTCTGGATGTAAGCTGCATCCAGCGTCACACTAGAGCATACGGCGGGCATCCCAGCACACTCACAGCCGCTTTGCAAAATCGCTTGCCGCCGTCGTCCACTTTGAACCCCTCTGGTTGGCTGGTCCGCGCTTGGCTGCAAACTTCACCACCTCTGTTTCTTCCCTCTCACACTCCTCCTCTCAGTAATCCTCTCATATTCTGACAAGTTGCTGCTGGTGGCGTATAGCACTTCCCGCTTTCTCCTCTTTGCACCTTGGTCTTCCCGTCCGTCTGTCACTGTGGTTCGAACCAGCTCCCTGGACTCGAGTTTTAACAAACCATCCTCCCTAGAAAGCCTAGCTCAACCACCCCACCTGGTCTTCATAACGGGCCCAGCCAATCACCAGACAAGCATCAAACCACCACTGCTCCTTGCCTGCCTTCCGCTAGCTCCAAGTGCGAAAAGAAAAGAAACAGCGGGACCCTGGAGCCAAACCCACTGCTCTGGAAACGAGCAGGGACACCAAGGAAGACCAGCATCACACGCCGGGGTACTCGTCCTTCTGCTGCCGCGGGGATTTGGTTCTAGCTTCGCTTGTTTCGAGTCCGACTACTGAAGCACACCCTCGTCCATCGCCTTGAATACCCCTTCACATCTTTACCGCCTCTGGGGCCCTCACTTCATTCAACCTCTTCATATAACCGTTTGTCCACCACCTCCTGCACATTTTTAGCACTCTTTCCCCTCCCCACCTACCGGCTCTCTTCCTCCATCGCCCAAAGGCAAGTCAACCGGTGGGCTCACAACGCCATACGATATTTAAGATCAACACGTCTCAGGCCTTTCGTATTGCCAGCCTACCTGCCATCAACATGTCTACCAAACCAATCCTCAAGCTGTCGACTCCGGTCACAGCCAACTTTCCCAATATCCCCCGACCAACAGACGAGCTCCGCTCCGCTGTGACACTTCCTTCGGCTCTTTCAGATCGTACTCCTCTGTCTGCCATCTCGCGAACATCAGCCTTCCGTGACCCTCTATCGGCACTTCCTTCAGCAGGCCTTCCTTCTGCTGGGCCATTCAGCGCAACCCTCAAGGTGGATCATGATCTTCAAAAGACACCCATTACACCACCCGTCGCATACCTCGACTTTCTTAAGTGCATGCAACTCGTTTCTCCCAGTCTAGCCTCGCCACCGCAAACAGGAAAGGTGTCCCTGCACCGGACGAGCACCGCTAGCAGCCTCAGCACCAGCAGTACTAATAGCCATGAATCGGAGTCTTCGGTTGACTCCGCCACTACGGACGACTCTGAGAAGGAGAAAGAAGGACAGATTGACAGCGCGCCATCAACAGCTCGCTCAGATGTGAGCTCCGAGCCAGAAATCAAGGTCGAGGCCGAGGAGAAGGAGGACAAAAAGGTGGACGAGAAAGAGGACGAGAAGGAAGACGGGGAGAACGTCGGCAACGGGAAGGAAGACAAATCCAGACCAGCACCTATCACCATCTCTCAACCTCCGACTCCCCAAAGCTCGCTCTATCCGATGTCAGCTCCAGCCACCGGCGCCGCGGTATTCCCAAGCACCAAGATCCCTGCATCACCCGCCATCTCTACTTCCGCACTCTACTCGCCACGAACACCCCTCAGTGCAGCATCTGTCCGCTCGCCTTTCGATTGGGAGGCGGCGCTAAAGCTGCGGCGATTTGCTGAAGTTTCTAGCCTCAAGCGCTCTGCGCCATCTGATGCTCCTGCTGTCAGCAACCCCACGTCTGTTCCCGTCGCAAAGGAATCACGATCCAGCATACGCCACATCCGTGAAGTGGTTACAAGAACAGTAACCTACACACCACGAATGGCGCCCGCACCCAAGGGAAAGCGAAGAAAGATTGACGCCGATACAGCCATCAAGTCATGAAAACAGCTAAATCATCTACGGTGCTGGTCATCACCGCCAACCTGATTACCACCACAATACCGTTGCAGAGCAGCCTGCCTGGAGCGGTGCAATTACTGAGATCCTCACAACCCATTAATCATCAAATCGACAACGCTTAGAGGGGTCAGGAAGAGGAATCAAAAAAGAAGAGGGGATGCAGCTTGCGCAGAGCTACGGATTGTCATTTACGAATGGTGCACATATCAACGGAGTCAAACGGAGTTTATCGGCGTTGCTGGCGGCGTCCACCACCATGGGAGTTGGGTTGTATTTTGCGGTCCGAACGGTCAGGTCGGAACTTGAACCACGATACCACAGGAGGAGTCTCGGCTTGGCTTCGTGTCAGCAATTTTTTTTTAGAGGGAATCTACTTATGGAGCATAGGGAAGGGATATTTGAAATTCGCTGGAGAACGAAGGGAGTTACAGGACAGGGTCTGATCATGGCCATTCTCGGTGGTTTGGGATCCAGCCCAAAACCCATTCTGCATAGTCACTACAATAGGAATCCTCGGGCGACACAAGTCGTCGGGTCTTCAACACAAGAATGTTCTCTCCCCATGTTTGATCAGCGTATCCTTCGATGATCCGTTTGCTTCCTCACTATTTGTTGTCGGCTTGCTACCCCGCAAACAGGAAGAAATGGCCGCCTTGATGGCCGGGCTGAGTACATAGGTCAGGATCTTGGAGGCCTGTAGAAGGTACGTACTACACTGGGCGATGAAACACCACAATAATACAAGTTTCCAATGCCCGGCTATCCCAGAGCGCTTACTTAATCCAACTGACAATGACAGATGACCTGATGAGGAGTGCATACGTATCCCGTGCTTGGCCCTTTTTATTTTTCTTAATTATCTCTTTCCCTGTTTCCCATGAAACATGATTATGTATCATGTCTATAAATTTAGTGTTATCGATAGCTTGCACGGGTCGTGAAATTGAACGAACTGGAAGACTGATCTGACCTCTCATGGAAGCTCGTTCAGCAGATGTAGAGCCCTTCACGAAGAGAATATCATGCATTGCGGTTCACCCCTCCACTCTAGGTAGGTGTTTCCAATGCCTCCACCAAAATCTTTTGAGACTTGACTGTCCGCCACTCAATTCTCACTTACGACTTTCCGCTGGGTGGAAGAGGGAGCATCTCTTCCAGCAAGCAGTTCACTATGTACCCCAACCACTTCACTTTCCCAGTCTTTCCCACTGGCAGACTTCCCACAAGCCCGGCGCTTAAACCCATGCCCCCAATCCCTGTCTACCGGTCTTTACCGTGGTCTACCGTGTCGTGCGGAACGGGGCTGCTCGCCCATGATTGGTTATCTAGAGAGAAGGCAATGATAACATTGGTTGTAGCAGTGTGGGTTTCTTGTGTGTAAGGGCGCTTAAATCCCTGTCTAGTCGACGAATGATGGGTCTGGCGAGACAGGGGTGGATGATTGGCGAGACGTCACATGTCGATTGATTGCTTGACACTGGGACCTGAAGAGAGAGTTTCAGTGCTTCGGGAGTTGTGGGACTTGTGGGATTGGGAGGTGGAAGGTGAAGGGTTCGTTGCTGGGACCGCTGTACAGTTTTCTTTCTTTCCTTCTTCGGGATGGACTGGAGGGCTTTTGAATGATGGAAACAAGTGATGCTGATGATGAAGGCTGGCTGCTGTATCATGGCTTCTTGGTCTGGCGAATGCCTTGTCACCGATATCACCTAAGCTGAACGGATCCTTGAAAGCGATCGACTTGGAGAATATCATTTCGACGACACGGCCCAGCCTCAAGTAAGGTTTGGTACTCTTTACTTCAGGCGATCAGCTGTTCTCTACCGCTGCAACTTTCGCAATCTGCCCAGGCATCTTGGGCGTGTGATATCGAACCCATGAGCCGAAGCATCGATCGGCTCAACCCCTATTATCTCGCCCACCGAACGTTCGGAACTGGGTCTGTCTCGCACTGGCACTCGAAAAGAATTTCTCGGAGGGCGGCCGGATTGGTGATACGGCACCGACATATACATCTGCATAACAGAATTTTCTCGGCACACTGCCATTGTTCACTGGGTGACGAGTAGGTACCAAGGTACTGTTACTGTGATGTTTCGATGTTGTGAACTGTGAATATATGTCAAAGTGAGGCAAGCCAAAGCCGCAACTTGTGCTGTCAGTTCGGTGTGGATGTCACGTCGTGAATTCAAAGACAGTTCCATTCAACATAAAAATAACCAGCGTGATGGGGTGACAGCGCGGTGGTAGCAACCCGTTCGCGGTTCGGATGCCCTTCCCAGCCCAGAATCAAGAATCTGACTGGATGGTTCGTTGGCCTAGGGACTTTTTGTTGCCAACTTGACTTGGAAGGGTAGGGAAAGTAGGTGTTCATGCAAGTGGAACTTGAATTTCCGATTCAAAACTTTGCAGCGAAATAATCTACTAGATTGCTATGTTTAACTTTTTGTTTTCCTTTTTTTTTTTTTTCCCTCCCTCAAGCGGCTTCCATGAGGCGGCAAATAAGCAAGCCCTGGCGCTCATATCATGGGATACCGTACACTATGTTGGGTTGCAGGGCGGAAAAGGTAAGGCGGAAAGTAAAACGCTCGTCGATCTGGAACCGAATCGCAAGACAGGGGGGTTCGGTCGGTCGGTCATGATGTGTGAATCGACTGTAAGCCCCCCCCCCCCCCCGTGTAACTCGAGCGTGAAACGCGACGCTGGACGGGGGGCCGGGGTGAACTGCCCAGGGGAGGGGAATTCGAATTGCGGAATGCGTGCGCGCGCGGCGCGACAGTGTACATCTTTGCTAAAAGATCAAAGAGTAATCTGAAACACAGCTGATATGGTTCAGGGTGGGTTTGTGTGTGCGAATAATTCGTTCTATTTTTGGCACGTTGGAATTTGATCAACATCCCCTCCGCTTTTTCCCACGTGTGCGTATCGCTGCTGCATATCACAGTTGTACACCACGATGTGCAATCAGGCCTTGTGGTTGGGGCGAACAAAACAGCGTGGTTTATTCCTGGATGGGAAATGAAGCTTCTTCGTATGTGAAGACGTGTTGACGACCAGTTCGTCAATAAAATGGCGTTATAGACAGCGATACGGTTTGATCCGGAAAATGATGTTGCTATTTTGGTTTCCTTAGCCATTGCACCGAAGAAGCTGGCGATGCTGCTATTGCTATTGCTGCTGCTATTGGTGTCATGATTGGAGTAATCATCAGTCGATTGTCTTCACTTCCTTGGCTACAGCATTGCACAGCACGACCCGTACGCCCGCTGCCGAGAGGACATGGATCCATAGCCGTTGTGTGTCACTAAGCCGGTCATTGGCGCTTTTGACTTCCACAAACATAACTTCTCCCTTGCCGTTCTCAGACTGCTCCTTTCGATCGTCGCTTAACTCATGTGTGGTACGCCAGAGGATTAAGTCCGGCACACCACCCCCACGAGCCTTGTAATCCTGTGCAATGACCTTGCAAATGGCGGCAAGAGCCTCACTCTCAAAGCAGGAAACCAGCTGGATAAGATCCTCAACCTCGTAATCCCAGTTCAACCCAACAATACATGTACGACGCTCGCGGTGCTGCTCGTTAACCCGGCGAATAAGGTCAACAGCCCCACCATTGGATATTTCCACCAACCGGTGGTTGATCTCGCTCGCCCGGGCCGGATAGAAGGCGTCGGTATGTAGATCCAAGGGACAGGTTTGGTAAGCGGTCTGAAAGACGTTCGGGACGAAGATGAAGAGGATGTCGCAGAACAAGTACGCGAAAAGTGTCCGCAGAATCCCACCCTCGCTGTGATATCCTTTCCAGCCTTGTGTGCGGTAGAATGAGAGGCACATCTCTTCTACACTGACATGCATCAGATTGCCCTTATCATCCGGGTCACCCAGTTCGTCAAGCCAGATAGTCTTGGTACTTCCTTGGCCACGGCCTGCGTCCTCACGGACCAACTGAATACCCTCGATTGTGTGCTCCTCCGGATCTCGTAGCCTGGCATGGTCAAAGTTGTGCTGTTGCCGACGCGGAATGTTGAGTTGCTTTTCAAGTCTAATAAGACGCTTTTGCAAATCATAATGGTAGATCAGATGACAATTGGGATCCTGAAGGGCGGTTTCGCAGGTTGCCAGAGCAATTTGCCTCCAACGTTTCTTCTGAAGATTCTTTTGTGCTTCGGAAAATGCGGTTGTAGGAGGTTGTTCCAGCTCCCACATATACCGCTCCTCAACGAGGGCCTTTCGCTTATACCAAGCACCTCGCCGGGCAAGGTGAAAGAGTTGTTGGCTCAGTAGCTCGGCCAGTAGATCGTATTCGTCCTGATACCGATGTAAGCGGCCAAGAGCTTCGGCAGCTTTATGCGCAATCCTCGTATAGGCATGACCTGCATTGAAGCGGCGAAGATACCCTCCTTCACCGAACTCATAGCCCGTGTTCTCCATTTTCTGTGCTTCAGCAAGCAGCTCTCTCCAACGAGGTGCTATGCTCTCGAACCTTTCCACGACTTTACGATTCCCCTCTGCTCCCGGCGGCCCGTTGAATTCCAAGATGGTGTCTACCTCGAACTGGAGACGCATTGAATTCTCGAACTCCAAGAGATATCGCCGAGATGGAAAGATGTTAGCTGAGCGACAGACAACATATTCAGGAAAGTTCCTCCTCGAAATCTTGGCTAAGATGATTGTTGTCAGTGACTTTTCTGTCCATTCGGTAGACCGATAGAAAACTAAGTGAACACGTTCAAATAGCTTGAAGACGGACTCCGAAAGTCTGACGAGCGGGCCAGTAATAGCAAGAATTTTGTCCAGGAAATGCGCCTTTCGGTTGGTATCTTGTTTTTCCGTGTTTGCCTCTTCCGATGTCGAGTCCGACGAATGCATCGAGGTGTTGGTGCTGGACCGTCGTAGTCCAACAGACATGAGGCTTGACTGCTGAGAACACATCCGGCAGAAAGCTTTGATGAGGTCTGGTTTGTTCTTGCCTTGGACTTTGGCATCCTTTGCGAGAGTTTTGAGCTCATCGAGAGAGAGTAGATGTGCAGCTTGCTCGACCGTCTTGATATGCGATGCTGAATCATCAGCGAACGCGAACGTGTCGGCGAAGACATGCCCCGGTTCTGCCACGAATTCCTCGTCGAAGTTGTTCACAGACTGTCCCTCGGGCAACGCTCGAGGCTCTAGTAGACTCTCAATGGCCTTCTCTATATCCGATATGTCGGGGTAATGCTTCAGCCGTTCTAAGCGATGCCAAGAAGCAGTTTTGCGCAAAAACAAACGCACATATCTGAAGAGTGTCAGTTAGAGATGGCCACGCTATGGCAGGGTTCCATACAAGTACTGAGCTTCATAGCTCAACGCCCTCCAATTCTCAAGTACACAGTTTTCCTTCTCCTCAAAAAGATGCGCCTCGTCCTGCAAGACTGTATCCAAGGCAAGGTTGAAAGCGTCAACGTAGATCGAACTTTGCCCTCGGACCCATTTCCGTGTCTGTAGCCGTGTCTCCGCGCTGTCTTCACCATCCTCGACTTGGGAAGACTTCAGCTTTTCGTATTCTTCGATGATATCCTTGTCAATCTTGACTTCGGGCAGACTATCCTCTAAGGCCGTATGGTGCTGCGCTGCTAAAGCAGTCTCTGTGGCATCGCCATCTTCAGCATCACCACTTCCGGTCTTCCCGTCTCGAAGAGGCGAATCCCGATTCTGATCCGCCAGAAACAAATCCTCCTTTTGGTCATTGTTCAATGCTGCGGAAGAGTCATCGTCTTCATCGTCTTCGGCATCATTTTTCTGCCTGATTTGATCGGTTCGACGCTTTTTTGTTGGTGGTCTTTCAGGTCTCTTATTGGTGTTGGTCCACCCAGCCGTCAACGCCAAAGGACTGTTGGAAGTGTGGGACGGTCTTGTTCTCTTCACAAACCGGTCCATTCTATCTCCGATGACTCTGGTGTTGGAGGATCGAAGACCATGGTGTACACCGACTGAGTTAAATAAGTATCCGCAGTGGCTAGATGAAAGAAACTAAACACATTTCAAGTTCCTCCGCAACTTCCTGGAATCAAGGCGAGTGAAAGGTACGAACAAAGAGTGACGTGTGTAGAAAGGTGTTGAACCGGAACCGCGTGGAGCCTTCAACGCGAAGTCCCGTGACTGCGTGTACTAAAGTGGGGCACGCAGCGGAAGCGACGCTGATCTCCAGACGCAATTGGAGCTGCATGGGACCTGGAGCTTCCCCCAGACGGATGTCAACTTTCTCGAGCAGAGCATTACATACCACCTCACCAAGTCACGGCTTTAACCACGTACACTATAGTCACCCAGAAACAAAGCGAAGCTCGGTATATTTTCGGCCGACTTGCTGTTATCGCAACGCATATTCTTTGTTATTAACTTCAAGATGGCCGCCAACGAGCAGCAACAGGGACATGCTCCAACAGAAGATGTAAACATGACCGATGCTCAGTCCGACCAACCAACTGTATGATCAATTCCTTTGGTCCTTCACCCTCCATGTCTTCCTACAAACAAAGCCCGTCACCATAGCCTCTTCGCCCAACTTTATCAAGCCATTCCTCCCGCACGACGTCTCGACCTTGACTGCGCGTACCCAACAACCACCTTACCCAGAAAACCAAAGCATATGCATACAACTGACGCTCACTCGCCACATAAGCAGCAGCAGCAACAGCACCTAACAAGCCACCACCACATCCCCGACCGCCCCCCTCACCCTGTCTCTCCGGTCCCGATCCCCCAAATCCCCGGCCGTCCAAGTCCCACAGGGGCACACCCCACCGCAAACCAAGGACCCAGCGCGATACGGTCTACAGCTACAACGAACGGCTCGACAAGCGAAGACCAACAATCTCAACCACTACCACCGTACCAGCAGCGGGCTAGCTCGTCACGAGCTGCCTCTGCACATCCCCAGGATTCTGGCCAGGGTCAGCAACAGGGACCGGGATCAATGGGCACAGCAGGCATGCCCACGGAACCGACACTTCACGGCGCGCCGGTCAGGCAGTACTTGAATACCAAGGTGACGGGGCACTTGTTGGAAGGGATGAAGATGCTAGCTAAGGAACAGTATGTTACACCCTTACACCCTTCTCTGTGCGTGGTTTACCGGTAAGGAAACTATTTCGCTAACCGAACGTGAACAAAACAGACCAAAAGACCCCCTCCGAGCCCTAGGCGAATTCCTCCTCCAGCGATCTAAACAGTATGAGGGTGGTGGTGGTGCGAATGGTAGTTCAACTAGCGCATAGAAGGCTTCAGTCAGACGATCGAGCCAACGCACATACCGGGAGGCCGCGATCAGCGGCCACCGTAGTTCTCATAGGGTTTACGAAGAGTTTCACCTTGATGAGGTCTATACTATGATGATCATAAAGGCGGCGGGACAAGGGAAGAAAAAAAAATAAAGGAGCTCCTCCGGCGTCCAGCGGAAAAAAAAGGAGGGGGTGAACAAAGGACGGCATATGGTCTGCGTGACAGAATCTGGACGGTGACACATCATGAGAGCACTTAAGTATGGTTAGGATAAACACTGGTTTCACGTCACAGTGGTCATGAGATACGCAGGAAAACAGAACTTGAGGCAAGAGGATCGAGGAATTTTGTATTTTTCAAACAAAACCCCAGCTGACTTTGTCTTCATCGTGGGTGCTGCTAGACATCCGCCTAGCAGATAATTTGAGCACGTTGAGCAGCAAAACTGCATCCCGATGCCTTTCTTCTCTGCAGTGACTTCCGAGAATGCAAGTTTCCTTTCCATTCCTCCCCCAACGGCCTTTTCAATTTGTGTGGATCGACCAGACGTCATGCTAAGCATGCTGCAAAAGAAGACACCCGTAGAAGCCGACAAAGATCACTCCATCTCGACTCGGCTGCCCATCCTCCTTCACCAAAATCTCGCGGCGCGTGCTCTACGCTTAGGAGACGATGGTGGAGGCAGTGGAAGACTCGTACTTCCAGGTGGGGGGAAGGACACCGACGGTCTTGTAGTAGCGAGCAAGACGGTGGATACGGGACTCAATGAGAATGAGACGGAACTTGGAGTCCTTGTCCTTGCGGTTGCGCTCAAGGTGCTTGCGGACGGCAACAGCCTACATTCAAATAACGTCAGTTGACTCCAGGTGATAATGCATGAAAATGACGGCGAGCCTATCTTACCTTCTTGATGAGCATGTACAGGTCCTCCGGGAGATCGGGGGCAAGGCCTGTAAATAGCATCACTCTGTCAGCCAATCTGACCAAACAGAGGCATATGCGTCTTTGACATGTTGTTTGTTTCCCAGCTCTTTCACTCGTGCCTTCTGCATCTGGCGCCAATGTCCCGTGTCGTCCATCCGTCACGGGTGCACAATCAAGGCTACGCGCGGGGCGGGCTGAGCGAATGCCGAGAAAGCTCACGGGACATGTAGCCCATTTGCATCGAATTTCGAGTTTCGAAGCCGATAGGGATTAAGGAATTATCGTCGCGATTCGTTTTGTCTCGCTTCCGCGTGGGAAAATTCAAGGTAATTCGTCGGAGTAGTAGGCAGTCATACCGTTGGACTTCAGGATACGAAGGATCTTGTTACCTATGGAACCACCACCGTCAGCATTTTACCTCGGCATCAACGAGGACTCGGGAATCAACATACCAGTGACAACCTTGACCTGGGCAATACCGTGGGAGTCACGGAGGATGACACCAATCTGGGAGGGGGTAGCACCCTTCTTGGCGAGCTTGCAGATCTGGTCGACGACCTGCTCGGGGGTGGTCTTGAGCCACGAGGGAGGGTTGCGCGAGTAGGGGATCGCGGAGGCAGAAATGCCCTTGCCCTTAGAGTGCATACGGCCCATTTTGAAAGATTTGGTGGTGCTGCGGTTGTCGGGGGAGTGACTTCGGCTGGCTTGTCGTCGACAGAGAAGTACGAAGAAAATATCACCGGGCGAACGGTTTGGCGGTCGTGCGATATTCGCTGTGGGCTGGGAAAATTCGCTTGCTTAGTCAGGCTGTTAGGGTCGGCAATATGATTGGCTGTAAGACACTGCATTTCGCACTTCAGGTTCCACATCCACGTGAACAGAGACCTGACCTGAACTTTTCTTTCTTGGCATCTCCCGCGTCCGCTCATCCAAGCATAAAACCGCTTTTCAGCAAAATTTTTCGTAAGGCTCGCTTTCAGAATCTTCCTCCAATTATCGCCAGGTCGGCCGTTTGCCCGTTTGGACCAAGCTGCTCGACAGCATTCGGCCATGATCTCCAGAGACATGCCTGATCGCAGTTCTGTCAAACTGCGGGAATTAGCATCATAACGGTCGACCTGGTATCCTATTCACTTTGGTAAGTCTCTCACTGCTCCCTCTGCCTTTTTCCGAGCCTCCCTATCCTGATGATACACACTTTATACTTTATTCTGGTACCTCTTATGTTAAAGTTCCTTTTTGGGACTTGATGAATTAAACGGACTTCTGAAACTTTGGCTTTCACACTCGTTTTGTTATTGCATAATTGGAGTCGTACACAGGCTAATGTTGTGTCAGACTTAGGTATCAATTTTTAAGCTCAAGATTGTACGGTCGCCATGGCATGCGAACTGAGTTCGTTGTCGCGGGCGTTGGTTGGCGACCCCGGACATTTAGACTAAGATAATGATAATAAAGTGATCCCAATGCAACTTCCCTTGTGTCGATCGATGATGTATTTGTAAACCTTTGGCATGTAATCAAAATACACTTCTGAGTGTATTGATGTTGTATCCTCTGTTTTTGAGCGCCCTGACTGTACCGCGGCTGAAATCCCATTAACTTCTGTACACGCCGCTGAGATCCCTACGATAACTTCGAGGAAATGACCGAACCTTGATACTAATGACGTTCTGATTGTTTCCTCGTTGTCAATCAATAAATCAGGCTATACCATGCACGACTACTGTTCTTCCTTTCAGTACAGTTCCATATATCCCTTGTCCTACTGCCTATCGTCTTTTACCAGGCGTTGACATCAAAGTTCTCCTGTAGGGTTTATCAGTATAAATGAGCGAAGGACATAAGAGCAAACTGAAGCTTATGAAACTAACCTCAGGGAAGTATGTCGCAACCACCGTGCGGTCAGCAAACTTCCTGCCTGCCAAAGCTTTGAGGGCCTTTGTTGCTTGGTCGGAATTCTCGTATTTAATGAAAATCTTGCCAACACCAGCAGACTGCCTGCTTCCGCCAGTGGGTCTGGGAATCTTTAGGGAAACAATAGTTCCGAACTTCTCGCATTCTTCCTGGACGTCGTCGCGAATTTCTTGAAAGCACACGTTAGCATCTTGAACAGTTGAAGTGATAGAAATGCTGAACAAACCTTCGTAATCGTCGTTGTCCATCAGCTCATCCGCTGTAACCATGTTCAGGAGCTGCACGACCCTGCTGACGTCGCCATCCAAGGAGGTGGTACCAGCAAGCATGGACATGGCGTTCACACTCAGTTCTCCAGCTACCTGTTGAATGCCATAGCTGGCCTTTTGAACCTTCAGCGCCCTATCGCCCAGCATCATGTTGTTGAGGCCGTCAATAGCGACAGATGTGACCGAAGAATCATGATACTCGCAAAATGCGATACCCTAGGACATGTTAGCATGTACGCTCGTTGGTAAAAGGGACCAGTAGGCTGACCCTTGACTCCTCTGTATGCTTATCCTTGACCAACACAAAGGACTTGAGCTTGCCAAAGGCAACCAGGAGCTCCATAATTTGCTCTTCGCTCAGATATGCGGGGATGTTGGTTACGCTGATCTTGTTAGGGCTGTCGATGACAATGCTGGAAGGAATCTCTGAATCAGGGTCGTAGTTGGGGTCTTCGACGATTGCAGGTACAATGTAGTCCTTCGGCCTACGGATCTTGAGCCCACCGGCACTAGCAGCACCATTGGCATCCTCGGCCTCCATGGTGATACCGTCAAGGGCCAGAGCGACTGTAGCATCCGGGCTGTTCCTAAACTCAAGCATGGCAAAGCTGTGGTCGGGAGATATTTGGCACTGGACGCAAGGATCGGCGCTATCGATAACGTTTAGGCCATTGAGCTGAAGGTTGAAGAAGCCCAACAGGCTCTCGTCGGTGGCTGACGGGGGGATATTCGAGACAATAAGTCGTTTGCTCTGGCGGGAGTTCGTAGGCTTAAGGGCGGCACTGTTGACAGCTCCACCTGGCTGGGTCATGAAAGCCTGAAGCTTAGTCGGGTCCATGGCCTGTTGTCGCGGGGCGCCAGGTAATGGGAACATGCCCGAGAGCTTGGCCTGCTCTGCGGTGACGTTACCATATCCCGGAGGCTTGATATCCCACTGTGTCATACGTCTCTTGCGCTCCAGAACAGGAACGACATCGGTCAAGTCGGGTGTCGGTTCCCTCTTTTTGGGGGGCGGCGAGACACTCCTCCTGCGCTCCCTGTCCGCCTCTCGGTCCCTTCTGCCTCCACCGCGGCGATCATCTCCCATCACGTCACGATCTCTGTCCCGGCGACGGCCGCCTTCGTCATCGTCCCTCCGGCTGCGACCTCCACGCTCGGCCCCGCGGTCAGCGCCACGATCCGCTCCACGGTCGGCTCCACGGTCGGCGCCCCTGTCACGATCCCACTCCCTATCACCACGATCGGGTCCACGACGGTCGCGGCCAGAGTATCGATCTTCTCGCTCGCGGTCGCGGTGGCTGCGGCTCGATGAATAAGCGTCAAAATCGCCGTCTTCGCGACGGGGTCGGCTGCTCCGGTAGTCGGCGGGAGAGCGAGAGCGTCTGCGTCCACTGCCTCGGTCATTGCGATCTCCACGGTCACGTCTGTCATCGCGGTCGCGTCTCGAGGACTGGTAATGGGTTAGCTTAGGCCTACAGCAATGACAGCTGTCAGATTTGTATACGAGGCACACTTACCGGATAGTCGCGAGACGAACCGTGTCGGCCGCTGTCTGTTTCGCCACGGTTAAGTTGAGTTCTAGTGGATAGCCACGGTCAGTGCCAACATACCTCTGGAGGAATAGGTGTCCCCGTTCATGGTCAACACAAATCTCGTTAAGTATAAAAGAGACGGTACGAGATGGTTGGGCCAAAGAAGCAGGAAAATGTTCTGAGGATTTTGATGAAATGGAAAGTGGCTTTGCTTGAGCTTCCAATTGCGAGTCCCGTCGATCGCGAGGCTGCAACTTTTCCAGCAGCCGTTGTTACTGCAGAGGGCGCTTGCTCCTCTTTCGGCTTAGCGCGCTATGTTTCCGTGCGATTCGGTTCCACTGACCCATCCACACG